CAGCTCAAGATGAGGTTCCTCTCTGAGACCCAAGTGGTCTCTTTCAGCCCCAACCACACAAAGTTCTTTCACAATCTCTCTGGCTAATTGTTTAATGCCTCCATTGTTCTTTGTTTATCTATCTAGGCAATTGTGTTTGCCTTCTTGCCAGTGTTGTTGACAACTAGTGCAAAATGAAGCATTGAAAAGAATCAGTCATTACAAGGGACAGATGACTGTATCTGAATTTGAATCTCCCATTCCCAGACCCATTCTGGAAACTGTCTTTGCAAGCTTTTTGCATTTCTTGATGTTCAAACTTTCAGATTTGAGGACTTAAGTACTATTATGGAAACATTAACACCAGCCCAGATCCAGCACTTTAACTAGGATGAGGCAACCAGGGATTTTTTCCAGGGTGCTGAATTTGGAAGGTACCAAATTTAGTGGGTGCAGACAGCACCACACTTCAGCAGTGTAGCATCAACAGAACTTAGCATCTGGTTAGCAAGAATGATAAGTTAAAAAGGAAACTACTACTTAGTGGGCTAGCATGAACCCTGCTTCCCACCTATCCAAGTGAGGGTGTACTCTGTGCCACTTATCCTGGGCCCAGTTTGTGATATTTGTCCCAGGACTAAAAATGTCTAGTCATGGCTCTGCCCAGATTGTTATTGTACTGTATGCTCAAGCCAATGAAATTGAGTCGCTGTTCCATAAACAGGTCCTGCATTGTGCTCTTTTGGCTTAATATCTTTGTCTATTTCATCCCCAACGCCTGGGAATCTTTTTACCCACCCCATCCTCCAACTCTCCCTCCTAATAGGTTTCCCCAACTCCATCCTCTGCCTTCTCCCCAAATAATATTCATCTGCTGCCAGACTTATCTTCTTCTTCTTTTTTTTTTGTTTTGTTTTTTTTTGTTTTTGTTTTTTGATGAGGCAGTTGGGGTTAAGTGACTTGTCCAGGGTCACACAGCTAGTAAATGTCAAGTGTCCGAGGCCTGATTTGAACTCAGGTTCTCCTGACTCCAAGGCCAGAGGTCTATCCACTGTGCCACCTAGCTGCCCCCAGACTTATCTTTATGCATTTAGCTGTGCCTCTCATGCTCAAAAGTTTTCAGTGGCTCCTTGATGAATAAAGTTTAAACTCCTCATCTTGGCAATCAAGGCCCTCCGGAAGCTGGTCATCCTATCTTGCTAACCATATTTCAATTTCCTCATTTTTCCATGTTGGGAAAAGTCTCACTTCTGTATTTGCTCAAATTGTTCCCTACACCTATAATACTCTCTCTTCCCTCTCTCTGTCTGTTGAATTCCTACCGAAAGCCTTCTTTCTTCCCTTCCAAAATCTTTTTCCACCTCAAACATCACTCAGCACTTTGTACTTCTCATTCACTCATTATGTAATATTTTTGTATGATAGCTATTTAGATATGTGACTATAAGCTTCCTGATGGCATCTAGGGGTGCAATGCTTAGAGCACTGGACTGGATTCAGGGAAAGTCCTGCCTCAGACACTTACTAGCAGTGTGATCCTTGGCAAGTCACTTGATCTCTCTCAGCCTCAGTTTCCTTATCTGTAAAATGGGAATAATAATAGCACCTACTTCCCAGGATTTTTGGAAAGATAAAATGAGATAATTTATGTAAAACACTTTATTGGATATTATTATCCATACTTAGTGTCTCCTCCAGGCTTAGTATAGTGCTCTTCATACTGTAGGTCTTAATAAATATCTGTTGAATTCAATTGAATTCATTCATTCAATGATCATTAAATACCTTATATGCAAAGCATCTTGCGAGGCTCTATGTGGATGCATTATATATTTCTAGCTTTATCTAATATTATATGCCCTGCAGTCAAGACAAACCAGTTTATTTGCCATTTCCTAAATGAATCCTACACTTTTCTGACTTGGTATTTGGCCCTGCTGTTCCCTTTGTCTGGAATGCCCTCTTTCCACTTCTTTTCTCCCCTACCCCATCTTCAGCAGTTAAATTCCTACCCAGCATTCAACACAGATTGCCCCTATGGGAGTGGACCCACAACATTTCTTGAAAAGCCTTATTGCTTGCATTGTTGGTGGACTAGTGAACTGATCCAACTATTCTGGAGAGCAATTTGGAATTATGCCCAAAGGGCAATCAAACCCTTTGACCCAGCAATACCACCTCTAGATCTGTATCCCAAAGAGATCATAAAAAAGGGAAAAGGACCTACACATACTAAAAATGTAGCAGCTCTTTTGTGGTGGCAAAGATTTGGAAATTGAGGGGATGATCATCAACTGGGGAATGGCTGAACAAGTTGTGGTATATGAATATAATGGAATACTTTGTGCTATAAGAAATGATGAGCAGGCGGACTTCAGAAACACCTGAAAAGACTTACATGAACTGATTTTGAGTGAAATGAGCAGAACCGGGAGAACATTTACACAGTAACAGCAACATTGTGTGATGATCAGCTATGATAGACATAACTCTTCTCAGCAATACAATAATCCAAAACAATTCTGAAGTACTCATAATGGAAAATGCTATGGAATCTGATGGCAGATGGAAGCATACTATTTTCACTTTTTTTGTGTGTGTAGTTTTTCACTTTTGTTCTGTTTCTTCACAACATGACTAATGAGGAAATATGTTTAAGGGGGCAGCTAGGTGGCGCAGTAGATAGAGCACTGGCCCTGGAGTCAGGAGGACCGGAGTTCAAATTTGGCTTTAAACACTTGACATTTACTAGATGTGTGATCCTGAGCAATTTACTTAACCCCAATTGCCTCACAAAAAAATAAAGAAAGAAAAATATGTTTAACATGGAAAAAAGAAAGAAAGAAATGCCTTATTGCTAAGGTGAGGGCTGTGAGCCTTATATTTATTTGTGAATGTATCATTTCCTCTCCTCTAGATTATAAGTTCTATGAGGGCAGACTGTTGTGTATTTTATTCATCTTTGTACCCCTAAGGATCTAGCCCAGAACCTAGTAGGTACTCCATAAATTTTGTTGAATTTGATTGAATGGAGAACTAAACTTTGGTGTTCTATTGAGAAATGATCACTGGACTCAGGCAGAAAACCTTATTGATTTGTCAAGCACCTATGAGTGCAGTGTACCTGCATCCAGGACAGTGCCTTCCTCATAGTAGGTGATTAATAAATATTTCATAAATTCAGGTGACCTATAACCACAAGGAAGGAGATGAAAGAAGCCCTGATTTTCTTTTTCCTTGTGGAAGATAGAAATAGTGGGAGAAATAGGAGCATTGCTGGTCATAGCAGCCAACATCCATCATAAAAGATTGTCTGGGTGGGCATCAGAAGTTTTGTGGCACCTGAGCATGTAGTCTTTGGGATTTTTTTATGTTGTTCTGGACCTGGATCTTGACTTTTAAAATCCTTCACAAGCGGATCCCTCTATACCTCTCCAGTCTTCTTAAAATTTACTACCCTCCACGTATTCTAAGATCAGCCCTCCTGGCCTTCTTCTTAGTTTTCAAAGAGGATGCTCTATGTTCCAACGTCCTGCCTTTTCCCTCACTCTCCCCCAGGGCTGGAATCCTCTCCCTTCTCACCCCCCTCTTGTTTCCCCAGGCTTCCTTCATAATGTGACTCATTCAGGCTACCACTCTCTCCCGGTTTTCCTCCTGCTTACCTGCCCTCTCCTTCTCTGTGTCCTTGACTGCATCCTCCTCCAGATCACACCCTCTGACTGTAGGCGTCCTCAGGGTTCTGTCCTGGATCCTCTTTCCTTCTCCTTCTATACCACTTCACTTGATGATCTCATCAGCTCCCATGCATTTAAGCACCATCTCTATTCTGATGATTCTCAAATCTACCTTTCCTGCCTCAGTCTCTCTGCAGATCTCTAATCTCATATCTCCAGCTGCCTTTCAGATATCTCGAACTGGATACTCAATAGACACCTTAAATTCAATATGTCCAACATAGAACTCATTATCTTTCCCCCAAACCCTTCTCACCTTGTACTTTCCCTATTATGGTAGAGGACAACACTATTTTCCCAGTCCTTCAGGCTTGAAACATAGGAGTCATCCTGGATCCTCATTATCTCTCATATCCCACATCTGATCTGTTGCTAAAGCCTGTGGATTTCACCTTGGCAACATCTCTCAAATACACATCGTTCTCTCCTCTGACACCACTACCACTCTATTGCAGGCCCTCATCACCTCATGCCTTGATTACTGCAATAGCATGCTGGTGGGTCTGCCTGCTTCAAGTGTCTTCCCACTCTAATCCATTCTCCATTCAGCCACTGTGTTTCCTAAAATGTAGGTCCAATCATGTCAACCCTTCTCCTCCATTCAATAAACTCCAGTGGCTTTCTATAGCCTCCAGGAGTAAATACAAAATGCTGTATTTGTCATTCAAAGCTCTTTATAACCTAGTCCCCTCCTACCTTTCCAATCTCCTTACACCTTACTCCCTAGCACATACACTTTGATTCAGTGACACTGGTCTCCTGACTATTCCACTGATAAGACACACCACCTCTTAGCTCTGGTCATTATCCCTGGCTTTCTTCCATGTCTGGAATACTCTCTTTTCCACTCCAACTACTGACCTTCCTGGCTTCCTTTGAGTCCCAACTAAAATATACTTTCTACAAGAAGCCTTCCCTAGTTCCTCCAGCGCTTTCCCTCTTTGGAGCATTTCCTATTTATCTTGTACATAGTTTGCTTTGTATATATTTGTTTGCATGTTATCTTCCCCCATTAGATTGTAAACTCCTTGAGAGCAGGAACTATCTTTTGCCTCTTTTTATATCCCCAGAGTTTGGCATAGTGCCTGGCATATAATAGGCCCTTAATAAATGTTTATTGAGGGGCAACTAGGTGGCGCAGTGGATAGAGCACCGGCCCTGAAGGCAGGAGGACCTGAGTTCAAATGCGGCCTCAGACCAACACTACTAGCCGTGTGACCCTGAGCAAGTCACTTAACCCCAATTGCCTAAAAAGAAAAAAAAAACTGCAAAAAAAATGTTTATTGAGTGCTTGCTTCAGCAGCACATATGCTAAAATTGGAATGGTACAGAGAAGATTAGCATGGCTCCTGCACAAGGATGACACATAAATTTGTGAAGTGTTCCATATTTTTTTTTTTTTGCTTTCAACATCACCTGAAACTTCAACTATTCACAGGAATGAATAATGAAATTAACTGAACATTTGGGATCAGAAGAAGCAGTAATTACAATATAACACAATATGGTTAAAATATAGTACCTAGAGATATTTGGAGTATGTTAGTAGATTTTCTTTCATCAATGTTTAGCAGATTTGTAGGATGTGTCACATTGTATCACATTGAAGAGATTGTACTTTTTAATTCATTTGGATGCTTCACAAAATTTAATTGTTTTAAAAATAAACAGAAATTTGCAAAGAGAAAAAAATGTTTATTGATTGATTCCACAGATCTGATATGAAGAACAGTTTGTTAACAAGAAAGTAGAATGGGGTTCCAAAGGGCAAAAGGGAAGGGGAAGGTAGAGACTGGGTGTTTATTCAACCCCCATTTCTCAGCCTAAGCATATGAACTGTCCAGCATTTGAGCTAAGCATCACTTGTTCTCCCTGTGCTGACAAGGTTGTGTGTTGGCTCAGCTGGCCCACCTCAGGTTTGCTTGCACTGTACTTGTCATTTAAACCATAAATACTGAGCACACAAAGGATTTGTGACTTTGTGAGCAGCATTTAGCCGTCTGGGCTGTCTGAAGTGCTACTCAGAATGCTGAGTTATGAATTAGCTTGGATATCAAATTAGCCTTGTTCTAAAAAACTGAAGAATAAACTAAACATTATAATTTCCCATCACACATTCATTATGACCCACTTAAGCAGGCAAAATGTTGGCATAATGCCGGTCAGGCTATCGTTCTAACTGCAGAGAAGGGACAGGGTGTTCAGGTATCCAAAAATCAAGGCAACCCAAGCTAATTCAGCTTTAGATTTGAAACTGTTGTCTTGAGCTATTGAGAAATATCTTTATCATATTGAAGATATCACGTCCAGCTCCTTAGAAATGAATTCTAGTACTGAAAGGGACATCAGAGATCATCTAAACCATACCTCCCCACCCAAGTTAGAGAAGGGAAGTGCCTAGCGCAACATCAAAGAGTCATAAAATTATGGAATGGAAGAATGGTTTTAGATTATTTAGTCTAATCCCTTCATTTTACAGACAAGGAAACAGAAACCTGGAAAGAGGAAGTGACTTGCTCAAGATCATAGGCCCATCTGCACTGATGATATTTCTATAGTGCTAGAATTTGGAAAGTGTTTTCTCTATAACCCTATGCAGTAAAGGGGATTTGTTTGTTTATATTGAGATCTGTCATTCCACTGGTGTATAGAACTCCCTAAACTGATGCAGATATAGACCTTATCCTTAAGGTCCAGGGCTATAGCCAGATTGGAGGGAAGGATTTAAATGAAAAGTAGAAGGGTTTGCATTTTATCTTATAGGCATGAGGAAATAAGAACAGGCAGTTTCAATATGTAGTGAAGTTCCTTGTCACTGGATACACTCCAATGGAGGCTGAATGGTCACTTATTGGCATTGCTATAGTAGGTGTCAAGTATCAGGCTGGATTAGATATACCTGCTGAGTCCCTTCCAACAGGAAGATCCTATAAGCCTCTATGAAGAGAGATTGTGGTAGGTTGAAGTATTTGATCAGGGAAGGCTTTGTGGAAGAATCTGAGGTGGGCTTTGAAGAGTAGGTGAGATTTAGAGAGGCAGAGAAGAAGAGGGAGGGCGTTCCTCTGCAGAGCAGACTCATGTGTGGATCAACAGATGGTTCTGCAACTTATGATCCTGTGACTGGTCCAGGTTCTCGCAGTCAGTATGTGTCAGAAGTAGGCCTTGAACTCAGGTCTTTCTGACTCTATGAGTTCTCTATCCACTATGCCTTGTATTATCTTCAATTTACAGATGAGGAAACAAAGACTCAGCAAGATGGAGTAACTTGTCCAAGGCTTGAAAATCATAGAATGAGGGGCCGCTAGGTGGCACAGTGGATAGAGCACTAGCCCTGAAGTCGGGAGGACACGAGTTCAAATGCGGCCTGGGACCAAACACTTGACACTTACTAGCTGTGTGACCCTGGGCAAGTCACTTAACCCCAATTGCCTAAAAAAAAATCATAGAATGTTAGAGCCAGAAGGCTCCTCACAGATCAGCTAAGGCATAGTGTCTGGTAGAATCCCTGTTACCGCTGGTTTTACTTAAATGTTGTTGTTAAAAGGGAAGGTTCAATGTGTATATGTGCATGTGCAGAGGGGACAGGGAGGAGCATTTTAAAGGGAAATGACTCTGATATAAAAACAACATTCATGAATAAAACTTTTTTCCCATAAAAGCAAGCTCAACTACTCTAATCTAATCAGTGATAGAACCAGAATTATTTAAAATCCAGGCTTTGTTTGCTCCTAATTCAATGTTCTTTCCATTACATAAGGCTTTCACTCTCATTTTTGGCTATTGTTCTTTTAAAAGGTAAAATGTCAAATATCATTTGGTCAAGAAGCTGAAAATGAATTAACCCGTCAAAAGCATTTATTAAGCACCCACTAAAATAATGGCTATCATATAGCACTTAAAATTTTGCAAAGCACTCTTCAAAACTCTCATTTTATCCTCAAAATAACCCTGTGAGGTATATGCTATTGTTATCCTCATTTTACAAGTGAGGAAACTGAGGCAGACATAAGTTAAGTGACTTAGTGTCTAAAGCTGGGTTTGAACTCAGGTTTTCTTAACTCCAAATCCAATGCTACATTCACCGTGCCACCTCATTTCCTCTCTGTGCCAGGCAGTATGCTAAGTTCTGGAGATTAAAGAAAGGCAAAAACAGTCCCTGCCCTCAGAGTTCACAGTCTATTTGGGGGAAGACAACACGCAAACAACTATGCACAAATAAGATATGTACAGGGTAAATTGGAGGTGATCTCAGAGAGAAGACATGGGCGTTGAGGAGGAATGGGAAAGGCTTCTTGAAGAAGGCGGGATTTTAGCTGGGACCTGAAGGAAGCCAAGGAGGCCAAAAAAGAGAGATGAGAGTGGAGAGGATCCCAGGCAGGAAGAGACAGCCCATGTGAAAATGCCCAGAGTTGGGAAATGGAGTGTCCTGTGTGAGGATATAAGTAAGGAGGCCATATCACTGGATTCCAGGGTACACCTGGGGGTGAAAGAGGTATAAACAGACTGGAAAGGTAGGAAGAGGACAGGTTATAACAGGCTTTAAAAGTCAGACTTTATCACTGATCCAGAAGGTAATAGAGAGCCACTGGAATTTATTGGGTAGGGGGTGATATAGTCAGACCTGTGTTTTAACATCAGTTTGACAACTAAGTGGAAGATGGTCTAGAGAGGAGAGAGACTTGAGGCAGGGAGACCAACCAGAATCTAGACCATTGAGCAAAACTTTGAGAAGCACCAGCTCATTTTTTTAGAAAGTTCCAACCCCCATCCCATCATGGATCTTGTGTTGGAGGCCACAGGATATAGATCAGTGTTTTGGTTTTTTTTGTTTTGTTTTTAAGAAATAGAAAAGAAGTCCTAGTAGAGAAGGGGCAGTCCCGACTTTTAAGACACATTTACTTACCCCTTCTCTAATTCATGTTATGATACATCTTTTCCCCTATGGTTGTGGCTCAAATTCTTAAGCACCTTTGCTAGTTAGTTTTGGAGGTCAGTCAGCTAATCTTTTTTTTTATCATATTTAGTATTTAATTTTTTCCCAATTACATGTAAAAATAATTTTAATATTCTTTTTTTTCAAAATTTGAGTTCCAAATCCTTTCCCTCTTTCCTCTCTCCCTTCATTGAGAAGGCAAGCAATTTGACATTGGTAATACATGTGTTGTTATGCAAAACACATTTCCATGTAAGTCATTCTTTGAAAGAAAACATAGACAAAAAACCCCAAGAAAAACAAAGTAAAGAAAGAGTATCTTTGATCTGCATTCAGGCTCTACCAGTTCTTTCTCTGGAAATGGACAGCATCTTTCATCAGAAGTCCTACAGAATTGTCTTAGGTCATCGTATTGCTGAGAAAAGCTAAGTTACTCATAGTAGATCATCATACAATACTGCTGTTGCTGTGTACCACGTTCTCCTGGTTCTGCTCATTTCACTTTGCATCAATTCATGTAAATCTTCCCAGGTTTTTCTGAAAGCATTCTACTCATCATTTCTTAAAACACAATAGTATTCCATCACCATCATATACTACAACTTGTTCAGCCATTCCCCAGTTGATGGACATCCCCTCAATTTCCAATTCTTTGTCAGCACTAAAAGAGCTGCTATAAATATTTTTGTACACATAGGTCCTTTTCTTTTTTGTTTTTTATCTCTTTGGGATACAAACCTAGTAGTAGTATTGCTTGGTCAGAGAGTATGCATTGTTTTATAGCCCTGCAGGCATTGTTCACAATTGCTCTCCAGAATGGTTGAATCAGTATGCAACTTCACCAATAGTACATTAGTGTTTTAATTTTCCCATATCCCCTCCAAAATTTGTCATTTTCCTTTTCTGTCATATTAGCCAATCTGACAGGTATGAGGCAGTACCTCAGAGTTGTTTTAATTTGCATTTCTCTCATCAATAGTGATTTAGAACATTTTTTTATACTATAGATGGCTTTGATTACTTTGTCTGAAAACTGCCTGTTTATATCCCTTGACCATTTATCAGTTGAGGAATGGCTCTTGTTTCTATAAATTTGACTAAGTTTTCTATATGTTTGAGAAATGAAGCCTTTATTGGAGCAGACAACTAATCTTGATAGAGCTTGGCATTATATGTGTTTGCTTGTTTACTGTTCTCTCCTATTTCAAGAAGAAAATTAGAAAAATTGTTTTCCTCATATAATTTTGCCTCACTATTTTTCCTGCATTGAAACAGTAACAATAGTACCAACAGAGGTTTTTCTGGGCAGAATGCTCTTTGTCCTTGCCAGAGAAAACAAAGGATTAGATTAAAATAGCATCTGGCTTCTTGCCTGCCACTGGCTGACATGGGAAGAGAGGAGAGCTATTCAGCTCTCACTTCTCTGTCCTGACCCAGATGCCTCTAATCACCCCCACTTGT